ATTTCTCTCTATCTATGCTTATGTGTGATCACTAATAAAAGTAGTAATTGTTTTGTCATAAAATTTACTATGACAACTGGATAATCTTACATGAAGGTCTTTCAATTTTTACAGTTATAACCATCTCTGGGTAGATATCAATAATGACACCAGAACTTAATAGACTTTGAATAACACACAAGAGGCAGGTCAATGTAATACACATCCATCTCACTCAAGGTGCCACACAGGAAACAAAAACATGCCACCAAGCACCCTGGGAAATATGGTAGATTGTCCACTCTCAGCACACAATGTTGTGTAGATTTATGGACATTTGCATTTGAAGTCTTTCCTAGTAAACCTTTTGTCATCACACAGCTGTCTGCTCTCAGATTAGCTAACTGGATAAAACAGCTGCTGTCAGAGAGGTGATGATTATCAGTTAATCAAGTGCTCCAATTAGCAGCACCTTGCTGTTACTTTCCCTCTTCAATCTTGTGAGAGGGGTAAAGGTGCACTCAGTTTGTCACACACATTGAGGATTTGTTTTCCTCTAATTAATACAGACTATGAGGTGTTTTTTGTAATCTAAATTACACTTTTAAAACAACAAAATTAATTTTAAAGGTTATATAATTTGTAAAACTCAAGAAATTAAAGGTGGTGCCCCTTATTGTTTACATTATTGATTTGTATTTTTGGTGATAGAGCATGCGGTATTGTTTTATAACCTAACCCTGTTTAAGCTTCTCCACATCTTTATTCCTGATGCATTTTAAAAATTAAATGACCGCCAATGAACCTCTAAAGCCTTCATAGAACAGATGTCCAGATTAAAATACACACAAGAGAACTGTATGCATTCATACGGTGGCTTTTCAAGGCTAATAGTGCCACTGAACTTGATTAAGAGGGCCGAATAGAAATGAATGTCAAACATTTCTGATTCTGTAAAAAAAATTTGAAAACCATGATGTGCACTTGTATGTGTTTATAAAAAGTACAAATGAAACACAACATATCTGTGATTATGACAAGGCAGAAAGGTAAAAGTTTTAAAAAGTAATTTTGCAAGGAAATTTCTAATAAAGTGGTTCTTAAAAGATGCCATTGTTAAACTCGAATAATTAGTTTTATTGCTTATCTGTATTGGTATTGCAAAAAATATTAATTGTCAGGAGAATATTTAATGTCTGGAAATGGTTTTCAAGAGGTTTACTTTATAAAAGATACCTAAAGAAATGGGTAATCTGAGCAGCTCTTTCACCTTTATTTAAATGTCAGACATGAAAGGAAACATTATTCTTTAGATGAACACTTAGCAGAACTCAGGAAAGTTCAGAGAAAAGAAGCCAATAATTCTGTGAAATTATGTTTTGTTTTTTTAGCTGGCACAAAGCCCTGTCCTTTGGGAGAAGCTATTCATGTGATGGTCACGATGTGTTTTCGTAAATCAATACGTTTCCATGCAGCACAAAAAGGTTTATCTCCTTTCGTGGCCCTGCAAGCGTATAGAGGGCTTAGGATGAATCATGTCAAGGGACAGAGAGTAAGACCTTGTGGAAATGCTTTCTCATGCCACAACAAAAGAATTCAGTCCCCATGTAACCAAAACTGTAAAATCAGAAACATAAAAGAACTTGAAATCCATCAATCAGCTTGGCTGCTGACACACCCATTAAAATAGAGCAAACCGGGCCAAGCATTGAAACCAGAGCTCTCTCTGAAGTAGGCCATCAACTATTTATTCTATTGTGGCGGCCAACACCTATCAGGTGTGATGCAGTGTGTACTGATTTGAGTCGGCTTTATGACCGCTCGTGTTTTACAGGAATCCCAGCTGACTGTGGCTGCTGCTTTGCTAGGGAGATGAGGAGGCAGAAAGAGTCAAACGACTCTTGGAGGCCATTACACAGATTGCTCCAAGGAACGACTGGCGCCATGCATATTTACTGATTGTGTTCCAGTTTGTTTTGTTTTTTTTTATCATTTATAAGTGTTCAATGAAAATCAATGACAAGCCATCAAATGGCTCACTTTAGATGAAACAGATATGTAAAAGTTTTTAAATATTCATCATTTGACTTAGTAATTTTTCTCATGCCTTAAATATTTGAATTGTCAATAATGATGGCAACTGAGTCTATATCATCAAAACAACCTGTGACATTGTTGCTTAAAGGTCACAAAACAAAAACTGATGACAAAGCTTTTTAACTTCACATTAAGAAATCAGAGCAGGGTGAGTAAAGCAGAATGAGTAATTTATTTACATGTATAAAACAAGGAAACAGTACAGTTATTCTATGTGTTCATATACATGAAAAAAATTGTTTTACTAATGTTCCCTGAATTTGTTCACTTCTCTGTCTCCATGGTGCCTTCTCCATATTTACAGGATATCTCAGCCTCTACTCCATAAATAAATCACCAAGCACTCCAGGTATCAGTTCATTCTTGTCAAGAAAGTTTGTTTTTCCAACTCATAGTGAGGATAAAAAGAAAAATACACTCTTTCTTTGTTGTAGGGATTTTACCAAAGATTATTTGTAAACTCAATTAAACCTACCCATATGTATATGGGGAGGTATAACTGTTGAAACGCAGACTTTCAATAGTATAATGCCAATAGCCATTGTTGCAACAACAAAATAATCTACCGGTTTGAATTGTCACATTTTTTGTGTCAGGTATACAAAAACCCCTAGAACTTGAGGATGTATTTTCTTTTTACTATGGTTGTACATGCACATTAAAACAAACACCATACACTACAAATAGTTGTGTTATTTAAAAAATTAATATATCCATTTGCAATGTATATTTGTAGCACAATGTAATACAAACCAACCCTTTTCTAAACTTTGAGGTCACTGTCCAGCAATATGTAAAAAAAAAAAAAAAAAAAAAAGATAAAAACCCTGTGGAAATTACACATGCAAACTGCACACCCCTTAAAGATGAGTTGGGAAATGTAACAAACCCAATGCTTGCTGAAATTATTCATAAAAATAGATTGTCAAGATATCAAGACCTCTTAAAAATTTAACAGAGGGCTTATTACTCTAAATGCCATGAATCAGACAAATATCACTTTGTTATTCATAAGAATAAAGTTAATGAATTTAATAGTAACGTTAACATATCCATCTTTAGAGATATCCATTTATATTCATATTCATCTTCAGAGAGATGGATATTCATAATTGCATTCTCTTCTTTATAAGTGCATTTATTTGACGCGTGTAAATGTATCTTTGACTTTAGCCTTTCAAACAGTCCACATAAAGCAGGTGAATGACAGTATGGCACCTTTCACCTGATGTGAAATCGTGGCTACATTGTCTGAAGCTGTTTGATAGATCAGCTATCACAAGTGTAGAGGTTGAAGATGTTTACGCTGTTCTTATTAAAAGAGAATTTGACTTGCTATAAAGTCAAAGAAACTGGTCCAACATATGGAAAACTTAAAAAATGTTTCTTGCTCAGCTTGGCTTAGCTCGGTTTAGATTAGATTAGTTTAGCTTAGTTTGGTTTAGCTGATCTAAGCTTAGACAATAACTTCTGAGATTTATGTTTCATGTTTGAGTGTATTGTCAATGATTTCACTGGCAATACCTTTTACAGTACTGGGTAACAAGGAAAACTCCCCTTATAAAAGCTAAGCTCTCTAAAGGTTCTTCTAAGGTTACACAAAGCAAAACCTACAGAAAACTTCAGAGAACATCCTCTAGGGGTTAATTTTTTTGTTCAGGGTTATGGAACAATAAGGAATGCTCCTGGAATGTTAAATTTGGGTGGGAATCGAAAATTAACCAAATGTCCTTGGAGGTTTGCTTTGTGAACTTGGTAGATCTTTAGATTTACTGCCTATCGCTTTACAAGATACAACTTTCTCCTTTGCCATTGTAACCACTTTCATTCTTCTTGGTATAGATGCAACAGAATTCTTGATCTACCGTCTCAAAAGTTGCTATTAAACTTGAGTTTCAACAGACTGGGCAACATTTTCCAGTCTGACATTTTCCTGTGCAAATTACAGAAACAGTTGTCTGTTCCGAGCTACCAAAGGTGACACTGAGATCTTGGTTTCTGAACACACACACATTTGTTGTGTATTCAGAAATAGTATTCTTAACCTTTCGCACTAACAAAGCGTAACTAAACCAATAGTTGCTGTTCTATTATCTCGAACCAATCTATTATTCTCCTTTGACGTCAACATGGCATTTACAATCCAGATATCAGATATTCTCTGACTATTCTTTGTAAATGCTGATATGTAATACGTTTTTTTTTGTGCAAAAATCCAAGGAGATCACCAGGTTCTAAATTACTCACTTATGCTCTTTCTTCCTTATGCTGATGCTCACTTCAAAATTCAGCAAGTCGTCTTCAGCACGTCCAGGTACCATGTTGCATCGAGATGCTTTCATCTAATTGAATAATTCCCTCGGCAATTGAGCAAGTGCACTGAATAAAGTGGCTGGTGAATTTATATTTAACATTAATCACCCATAACAATCAGGTCCAAATTGGTGTTGATTTAAGATTAACAAGTAGAAATTCAAATCTTATAAAGATTTGGGTTTTCTCTGTTATTGATTTGAGTTTTTCTGTGTGTTTATTTTGAGTTTCTGTGTTTTCTGAGTCTCCTCTTGTCCTGTCTTCCCCTTGATTGTTCCCAGGTGTGTCTCGTTCCCTGATTACCCTCTGTGTATTTAACTCCACCTGTGTTCCTTATTCCTTGTCAATGTGTTTGCAGTCCATTCGTTTACCCTGTTGCTACCTGTGCTGAGCCCTGGTTTTCTGCTCAGCAGTGATGCCTGGGTTTTGGACTTTTGGAGTATATTTTGTACCTACTTCTTCATTAAATACAATCATTCATCTAGGCTGGGTCTGAGGGTTTTCTGCCTCACCACCTCTACACCCGCACCAAATGACATATCTGAGGTGCGTATCATAGATTTGAGGTTGAATTTCTAAAACCATGGTTCTAATACTGGGATACTTGAACTACTAGTACTGCTACTAGTAGTTCAAGTAGCATTTTTGCTGCCATAAGCTGTAGTTTTTAGGAAGCTCAAGAAGTTTTGTGCAACCAGTTTCTTTCGATTTGGGGGCTGGCAATTTTCAATGAATCTCAACATTCTTGTTCCAACATTATTAAAATTATACCTTTTTTTTTAACCTTGTATTTTTCATAATGTTGTGGCTGCCTAGTGTAAGAAAACTATCTCTCAGCCCAAAGGCTACAATGAATGTTTCCTAGAATATGGAACCATCCCTGAATGTATCCTCCAGTGTTCACCTGATATAGTGCATGTAAAATTAGATCAAAGAAGGCAACATTGAGGAAGTTATGTCTCCAATGAATTAACACTGAGCTCTAATCCTTCTTACATCTGCTGTAGTAGCTAAATATGGTGTTGTCTATCCAGCGGCGGAACTTGGACACAGCAGTGTAGACTCCAGGAAATTGAGCGTCAGCACATCCTCTTCCCCATGACACCACTCCATAGGCCCGCCCGTTACAGACAAGTGGGCCACCAGAGTCTCCCTAAAAGAACAGCATAAAGCACCACCAGGGGTTATATATTAGCAGCATATGTTGATTTCTGTTGAGAATCTAAAGAAAAGATAACATCTGATCTTCATCAGCTCCCGGTTTAAATCTGGAAGATGATTTAATATTTACCCTCTTACATATTAATTCTTTGATAATTAAATTGCATTATATATTAGAGATTTGATTGTTTCACATGTTCCCAACTGAATTCTTTGCTTTGAAATTGCAGGTTTACTGGTGACTTTTATCATCTTTAAAACTACAATGGGACAAAAGGAACTTGCATCAGGCTTCTGTCCAGTGGATGCACCTCCAAGTTTTAGTCAATAAGTCAAACACATTGTCTACTTCAAAAGACCGGACTTGAAACTTTCCTTTTTGATAAAACTTATAGTCAGTCATTATCTGCTGTTATTTTTGCCATTAATTTTATGTTCCCTATGTGCTTTTTTTCTTTTCATACAGGTTATATCTGATTAATTTCTGCTGCCTTCTTTGAGGGGGCATTGGCTGAGCTGTTGCTGCCAATAACTCAATATTCTCTCTTTAGATCATAAACTTGTGCCCATCTTTCCATGTTTAAACATTTCTCTCTCTTAAAGTAACTATTTACAATTTACTATTTGACATGTTTCCAGGAGAAAACATTTATTTGTTTATTGCTGGACACTTTTAGAGGAACAAGAGCATTACAAAGACAGCATTGATTTTGACTTTTTCATCAGGGCTGCTGAGAGCAATAACACCATTGTATGTAGCTTGTAAAGGGAACGTGATTTCCTCCATGTATCCTTTTCTGGACAAAACTGAATTTTATACACTTATAGTGTATAAAACAGTCTCTTTTTGAAGAATATACTAAATAAATTAGAAACGTGTTTGACTGACCAACCAGAACCATGACCACACAGAGACCTCCTCATTTACTGATGGCCCTGCTGACTTAATCCAATATTAAATTATCTTTTATTGTTACAAAATAACTGCTTCCACAAATATTAGCACCCCTAGCAATTTGGATAGTGAAGAGAGCGGTCAGGAAAGGGGGAAAGAGATCCAAATATTCCTGTTTGAGAATCATTTCTCCATACTAACCATCATTTATTTACTAGTTTTTATGGAAAAAATGCCAGAAAAATCTCCTTTCTGTCCCATCATCACAAATAAAATACAGGCCTAGAGAAAGTCATTGAGACTTCAACCAGGTGAGACTACTATTGAATTATTTGGCAATATAAACAGTCCATGTGTGTCTCCCATGAAACCAGGGATGAAGATGAGCTAAATGCTTACTGGTAAGTGTGGTGGTGGATCTGTGATGATGTGGGCTTATTTATATTACAGATATCCTTTTGGGCTTCTCACAAAAGGCTTTTTGAGATCTTTTTATAAAAGTTTGATCTCTTGAAGAAGAAAACTGAAAGAAGGGTAACAATATAACCATATACTCACATAAAAATGGCTCAAGACACTATAGCAACAACATAAATACAAGTCTAGCCGATTCTGTCTCTGCAAAATGTGGCCATTTAAATCAGGAATATTTTATTTACACACTGAATAAAATAACAGGAGACCTCTCACCTGACAGGCATCTTTTCCACCAACGTTGTAGCCGGCACAAAGCATTCTGTCAGTGATGCGGCCATTAAACGACTTAGTGCTGTTACATTTCTCTGTAGACACAATAGGAAGTGTGACAGTCCGCAGGGTGGCTGGAATCTGGCCCCCAGTGGGGCTGGTGAATCCCCAACCTGACACTCGACACATTTCGCCCTCCGCTATGGTGGCATCCTGCCTGGGCAGCAGCACAATGGACACGTAGTCGTTCAGGTAGATGGGTGCCCTCAGCTAGAAACAGAGTAGAAAGTGGTTTTTTGTTTTGTTTTTGTTTTGTTTTTGGTGTTCTTTGTGATCAGGTGAATTCAGGAAAAGATTCTGCCAGTTAATTTGCATTCTGTACCTTAATGAGCATGATGTCACTGTTGTTTGCGGTGCGGTTGTACTCAGGGTGTGGCACCAAGAAGTGAGGGAACACTTCCTGCTCTGTGCCTTCATAAATGGACAAAGAGTAGTCTCCTGCTACTACCACCATTTTGCTTATCCTGTAGACAAAACAAAATATGCTGCATTAATGCCAGGAGTTGTTCATGCATATCTTAAAAAGATGTGCCCAATTACTATAGTTACAGTTATGGCTATAATAAAAATCTTGTCTTCATCAATTCTTGAAATTGTTTAATTCAAACTTCAGGTGTATAAGAACACACATCAGATTCCAGACTGTCATAATTCATAGCAAAAAATTGTAAAATAAATGGAAACGCTTTGAGTAAAATCATACACCGCTGATGATTCTGTTTAATTTAGCGTGGAAAGAAAAGGGCAGTGTAATTAGGTCGGTATTAAAACAATGTCAGGAGAAAAGGAAAAAGAAAAAACAAATTTAGCGCATCTACACAATTGTTGATGCACATCAATCTAAGAAAGCTTATATGGCCATTTCCAAACAATTTGAAGCCCGTCGGCATACAGTGACGAAGGTTGCTTAAAAATCGACATTAAAACATTAAAAAAATATTGACCTCTACAAAAAAAGAAAACTACAGCTAATGTGGAAAGATTGTCAGGAGAAAGTCTCTTTGTAAAAAATATGACATCGCATTTTCAAAGTTTTGACTAAAATTCAAGAGCTGGATTTCCTCTCAACTTTTAAAAAGTCCAGTTTCCTGCATTAGCATCACTTTTCAGAGGTTCACCTCAGACTGTCAGAGAGTCTTCCACAGCCTAATAAACTACTACTTCACATCCCAGTCCACTTCTGGATCAAGAACTATTACAGTATGCAAAGTTGCATACTGTAGGTGGAATGTTTTGTCAAAATTATATATTACTGGTAGAGCAAGCACCTCATGTAGATGGTGGTGGAAGGGGCAATAATTTCTGATGGTTTAATTCTCATGTAAACTTAAGCCTGAAAAACCAACTACTTGTACTTTCTTTGATTTGTTTCATAAAGAAAACATATTTTTCCTTCTTCAAGTTTACTGACTCACTGCACAAAACAGCAATGTTACACTACTCAAACCTATTGACCTCACACTGGCATCCTAGATACAAAAATGAACCAGAAAATGATTTTCCCCTCACAGGTCTGCTGAATGCTACACCTGGCTGATGGAGAAGGGGTCATACTAAGCGCAGAAATGTTATAAATGCCCATTACAGAATGATTGAGCTGTCTGTAGAGACGGTAGAAAGCTGCTGGGAAAGCTGCAGGCTGTTCTGAACCAGGTCAGGTACTTTTCATCTGTTTTTTAAGCCACATCACAAAATGGCACACCAGACAGTAAAAAGAGACATAGTTATACTCTTCACTGTTTCATATTCTTTCACATTACAACTACAAATCTTGGTGTATTTTGTGGGATTGTAAATAGTTGACATTATGTCAACTAATTACTCCCATTATTTTTTTTCCTGATGTCCTTCCATACCAGTCTGACCCTGGGTTTTGGTGCAAAGAGAAATGGGCACAAATTTCAGACAAACAAATATACGACATTTTAAAGTAAGCGGTTTTTTGTTCGGCTTCATAATTATGCAATACTTTGTTGTTGTTTTATGAAATCCTAGTAAAATACATTTAAACTTTTGATACTAATGTGACAAAATCTGACAAGGTTTAAGTGGAGTAAATACTTCTTCAAGACAACGTAATATATAAATGCATAGGAACAATGTGGAGAAAGTGTCTGTTTTGTTTTTCTTAGGTGTCTGGAGCTGTAATCAGATCTCTGATGTTTTCTTATTATGGATAAGAGAGCGAATTTGGAAAATTATAAAACATTCACAGTTTTTGGTGAAACTCTGCTCTTTGTTAACTAAAAGGGAAGAAGGCAACACAGATGTCTGGGATCCCGACAACACTTACAGCCGCTCACTGATTGTCATTTAATAATAGGTACTGTTCAAAGTAACACTTAGCTGATGTAAAACATTATCTGGATTAAATGCCAAACATTGTGTGAATTGATTGCTTCCTTGCAGGCACATTTATTTGCTTGTAATCCATATAAAAGTGTGTTGTCTGGGAGCCTAGACCACTGCATGGGTCCGATTGCAGAAGCAGAGAGCACCATTGTGTGACTGGTATCATTTTTCATTTGCTTTATTTCAGCCGTGGCATTAATAGAACTTGGCATCTGATATGGCTGGAGATTCCTGGATCCAAGAAAATAAAGCCAAGAACTTTTTGTACCATAAGACTTCTCTGTTTATTATGACTTCCTTAAAAAAAAAAGCCTGAAGCCAGACTGTGACATGGGATTTATTTCACCTCTTTATTGAGTTTGTGCTTTTTTCAGGAGGTTATGCAACATCTATTCTCTGCAGAAGCAAACCAGAAGAAGAAAACTAGCTCACCCAATGTTGCAGTGTGCTGCTGTGACTACCCAGAATCTGTTAATGAGGAAGCCCCCGCAGAAGTGCTGGCGTGTCATCGTCTGTAATGATACAATGTACCTGATGGAATGAGGAACGGGCGCATAGCCTCCCACTATCCGTTCCTGTGCAAAACCCTGACCTGTGACACATAGAGACATACAGAAGGGAATTAATTCTAACAGGAAAGAAACACAGAGCTGACACAGTTGTACTTTCATTTGTCACAGAAAACACACAAATCTTCGCCTTGCAGATTCCTTCCACTCAACAGATCGATAAAGGACGATCTCATCCTGGAGCTGCATTGATTCCCAGCAAGGATGAAGCTCAGCATCATTATCTGGTGTTTGTTTTGAGTAAGCCAAAGACACAACTTGTTCGTCAGCTCCTATCAGATTGTGAAAATTCACATTTTGTCACATTACAATCAGAATCACCGATGTATTATTTGGAATTTAGGTGGCAGAACAACACAAAGACATGACTTATATATCCAGGAGTTGATTATTTGGTTTCAGTTAAAATAAATTCATGTAAATCTGAGAGAAACATAGTTATTGGTTTGTACTGGTAATGGAAGTTAGCCTTTCACACAGCAATTACCAACAAAACCCAACATTGAACCAAATGGAAAACAATATGAGATAAAGTTGCTTCAAACTGATCTATGATTACACAATCATAGATAATATACAGTATAGTATCTATTATCAGAGCTGCCAGATACTCTGACTGTAATTTCAGTGAACACATTAACATTACCAACACAGTAAAAATTTTCTAGCCTCAAACTAGAATCTGCTCACAGTTGTGCTCAGTGACCAATACAAACTGGTGGGAAAAACTGAGATATTTTATATATTTAACATAGAAAATTTTAAACAATCACAGGTGCATGAATCTCAAATCTCAAAACTCCATTTGTCAAAGCTAATCTATCATTGTATTTATTTTAAATCATGACATTTTAATCCTGAGTTTTATTTGGTTCACAATTTAACAGAAGATTCTCAATTATTTTTTCCAAAATGAACAAAAATATGTCATTATTTACATTTATTCAAGTAAGAACGATTTTAAAAAGATTTCTATCCCTCCCTCCATCCACCCACAGTGTGGTGCAGCAATCTCCTTCTTAATTGGGACATTGATCAGAAGCTATTATTAGCAGCTCTGCTGCATGTTGAGACCAACATGGAGACATCATACAGTGCATGAAGTATAGACTGGAAGTTAGAGAGCATTATATAAGACCTTGGAACTTTACCTTTGGTATTTGCTTTCAGAAAGATCACCAGACAACAAGAAGAATACTGATGTTTTAATACCAGCTTAATAGGAGAATGTAGCAGTTTTAACAACTTTTCACTTCATAGGTTAAAACACAGAAATATCCCATTTTACACCAGCTCTAGTTCTTTATCACATTTCCAAGGTATTTTTTAGGACTGTGACACATTTTCAGGGCGTCAGCCTCAATTACTCATTTGTTATTGTTGCCATGAGCTCTTGTCTATTGTTGCACATGGTTTCAAGTTATTTTTGTGAACAAGCTCACTTTCTCTCACCTTTTCTTTTTGGAAATATGTATTTTATATATTTTGTCACTTCATAACCTTCAAACATGCCTTGTCACAGATCATTAACAGCCATAATATAAAGTTTCACATTCATTAATTTGGTTTTAAAAATATTCAAAATACATTTTTAATTGCCTTTTCTGAAATCTCCCAAACTTTTGAGTTTTAAAAATCTCTAACTTTCATTTTCTGCTGGGTTTTCACTCTGCTTGTAATAAGATGCTCAATCGTATTCTGATGTAAAAGCCTTTGGGTCACACTTTTGCTCTCAGTGGAGCATCAAAGCTGCTAATCTCAAAATGTGCTAAAAGGGATGCTTTCAAAAATTAATCAGGGACCCCAGTAATACATTAGGTATACATCCATCCACACTCATTTCAAGAACATGATTATGTTGGATAAACTCAGACTGTTACGTTGCAACAACCTCTCTTTCCTCCCAATCTAATATCACTTAAAGCCATTTGATTTCAATTCATTTAAAGAAGTGTACTTACAGTTCACAGCCAGGACTTTCAGCAATATACAGAGCAATAAAGATGTCACATTCATGACGACTACAAAAGAAAGAGCAGTCTTCCCGCAGCAAGAGGCTTAACCTGTGTGATACCTGTCTAATTTAAGGGGAAGGCATCTCAACTGCACTCTCAAGTTTCCAATAGTTTCTATTTCCGTTTCCATGGTCACGTCCTTCTCAGGCCGATATATAATTGAAATGTCCTTAACATTGCTCTTTGGTCTCACTGCTTCCATGACCTAATCACGCCATAGGTGTTTGTTGTTGTACAGTTTTACTGCTGGTTCTTTTCGTCTCATGTAAAATGATCTGCAGGGACCATAAGCCTGAAAGTCGCAGCTATTTGTTAACTTTAATGTGTCATTTATCAACCTCTCTGATGTCATATGGCCAGTGTTTGACATACTGTGTCCAAAGGTGGCTGCAGCTTGTAATATGGATCAAATGGGCTGCTGTCTTGTTAAATGAGAAGAGAAAGAGGAAGGCTCTCTTTTGCCGTTCATCACTGTCCAGGCTTCTCTCACTGATTTCCCCAGGAAAGATAACAATGAGGGTCTTGGCAGCTAAAAGCTGTTGGATCAGGACGGGTCAAGGCAGCATGTCTGAAGCCGGCCGTCATTAAAAATGGAGCAGGTTTCATCTCATCTGCCGTCCCTCAGAGGAGTTCCTGACCTCAGACGGGTAATAGCCCTCCAAGCTGCCTTTGCTTGTGCTGAGAACTGCAGCTGAGGTGCCTGTCATCCCCTTGGAAGGAGAACTCTGTCTATTTTCTCCACATGAACCTTTCCTCAATTCAGGAGCTGCCATTACTGCACCAGGGTGCCTCCAAATCAATTCAGTTTGTTTGTGATGCACAAATTTACAGTCAAAATGATATCAAAGCACTTCACAAGTCAAATGGAACCAATTAATTTCAAGTATGTGCGATCAAGTTATGTCATAATTGTTTCTCTTCATCTCGTCTTTAAAAAATCTGAGATTAAAATCCTTCCTTCTGCTCCTGTTTAGTTTTTTGTTGTTTAATTTTTAGCGAAACCTTTGTGATTAGGTGATTATTTGTTTATTTATTTATTTATTTTTAGAGCTGAAATATGGCAAAAAATAAACATAATAAAATGAAGTCCATAGTCAAGATCACTGACAAATCAATTTAATCTCTATGTAAAAAATTTGTTTCAACTTCAACAAAAATTTAGTTGAAGTTATATAGATTATTTACACTTGTAAATTTATCATTGCCTGATACAACAACCAAAAGATGTCACTCAGTGCATTTTACAGAAGTAACATAAGCATTTTATATAACACCTGTGTGTATTGCTTAGTTGTTCTCATGCCAGTATTCCATTACTGTGGATCTGCCTTCCATACAAAGATACAGGACTGCAGTAAGCAATTTCCCAGCATTGCCTTTCTTTGATGAAACTGTAGCACATGCAGTTTCAGAAAATTACGTGGCATCGCTGTCAGAACGTGGAGAAACAACCAGACACCACCAGATGTTGGTGACACTTCTTTTTTTAACCAATCTTTTTTTTTTTTTTTTTAGCAGGAAGTCCCTTGAGACAAAATCTCTTTTTTGAAGGAAACCTGGTATATTTATGGGAATGCTTTGTAAATACTGCAGAAATGACCTGACAGTAATGTTACTCCATTTAATGCAAAGCTGTCTAGACACTTTGCACAACAGATGTTTAGGAGATTATTAAGTTTGAAAAAGAGAAAAAACAAGACTCTGATGTCACGGTAAAAGTAATATAACTAGTGGTAATGTAAAGCTATAAATGATTTTTATGAATTGTTCAGAAAGGGAATTTATCATAAGCAATCTCATATTTTACGCATATGACAAATATGATGATTTACACAATCTTTATTTACTCATGCTTAGGCCCAGATAAACATGAGGATGAAAAAAGTGACAGCAGTTTCTCTGAAGCAATATGAAAATAAAAATTTTCTTTTGACAAAACATCTTAACCACAAAGAAAATTGTAACTATTCCAAGTCAGAAAATGTGGAAACAATATGAACATTTTGAAATAAAATAATAAATGTAACACAATGCTAAAGGTCTGTAGTTTTATGGGTGAGACATGGAATTTTTTTTCTTGGCAATGGTCACAATGTTTGTGGTAGTTTCTCAACAAGCTTCAATCGGTACAAAAATATTACTGGCATTAATGCTAAATCTTTTTGACTTTGGTAAATTCAAATGCTGATTTACAATAACGTTTATAAAACCAGAGTTAAAAGATAACAGCAGACAATAATAATGGCTTATTGTGATGAGCTGCTGTCCCATACTGCCAAACAGGTTTTTGCACAGACAGGAATCATTTAAATTCACATTTTGTGCATTTCCAGAAAAGCCACAGGACATTTTTGTTAATTTCTTCCAATAAACAAGAGTCTAATATTTTATTTTGCCTGTAAACCGGTGAGGATTACTGAAGATTGAGGCGTTTCCAACCTAAATACTTCTGGACTAAAAAACTTGAGCCTACAAAACAGAACAACACCATATCTTTGTCATGTAGTAGGTCAGAGCGTGAGATTGTCAGAGGACAGATGGAAAGATAAATTTAACAAAAGATCTGTATAAGGATACAGTTACACTTAAAAAGCCAGGAGGAGAACACTGGTCTCACCAGAAGCACAGAGGGGCTCAAGCTTTTCACCTTACGGTAAGCGAAAGATAATTCAATTGAACTCAACTCTTAATGATCACTGATCTGACACTGATTTACAATTCATATTTAATTTATGTAAATTTGCAAAGAATGCACCTGACATTTTGAGTCAGATGCATTCTTGAGATTCAAACTGTTAAACTGTTTTATATGTTTGTTTAATCATGTTGAAATGAGAACAGATGCTCCAATATATACTGTAATAAAGCTCCAAAAATACTTGCTTTTCTATTACAGATTATTTAACATCAATGATGTCTCCTCAACAAATTGCAGCAGTGCTGTTTATTCTGTCTTCAAAAGTATGCTCACGTAAGTTCTTTATTATATTTTAAAAACATAAATCTTTGAAAATTTAAAACGAATACATTACCTAAGCTGGTGAGCGCATACCTGTGTGTAAACATAACTGTGTCGCATGTTATCTTGTTTACAGTTAAGCCCTAAAAAGATTACTTTTTAGGGGCAAAGTAATCTATTAATTTGAGCAACACATTTCTTCTGACTTCTTAATATGCAATGAAAAAAGTTTTAACTGTAAAAAGCTAAAGTTTAAGAAGGACTTTCCATTTTAAAGACTTGGACATTACCAAAGCTAATAGGTATATCCGAGTGGAAACTTGAAAAGAAGAGTTTGATTATTGTAATGGATTATTGAGAAGGGTATGATTAAGTTTCGAAATGCATATTTAAAAAGATTTAACTAAATTGAGAGCTTTTAGAACTGACATCAATTTTAAATTGTTTTACTAGGTTTTAAAAGGTGTCCTTCTCACTTTCCTAAACTGAAAGAAAAGAAATTTATGAACCAGGGTATAAGTAATTCAGGACTCAACCCAGTGTGATGCGCATATGTCTGTGCACCCTATGTGCACACATGCACAGTATGATAGGCTGAATTGGAGCCCAACCCTGCTCCTATGATATTTTTTTAAGGTTATGGGTTGAGATTAAATTTGCGCACACCTACCAAACTTTTTCTTTTCCTTCTATTAAATGTTACAAGTGCCAAAACCTAAATACCCTCTTGCTCACTGCTGTAAACAGAAGACCTCAATTCAAGGATCATCGGGGGTCTGGAGGTCCAACCGTACTCGATCAAATACCAGGCCTCCCTGCAGACTGAGAAAGGGGAGCACTATTGTGGAGGAACACTGGTGGACAAAGAGTGGGTGGTGTCTGCTGCCCACTGCTGGAGACCGTAAGAACTGCAATTAAAAAGATGTTAAATTGCATTTAATCTCAGTTTTACTTTCATTTTATTTTTTTTTCATTTACTCAATAAATAATTCATTAAATATTTAATGAATAGTTCTCTTTTCATAAAATAGAGACCTATTTAATACGTTTTTTCAACTTAATTTTTTTAAGTTTAAACAAAAATTTTAAGTTTTAAAAAAATTTAAACTTGACCCCTATTCACATAAATAGAGACAATAGCTGGAATAACTTCTTGACAATAAGACTAATACAAACAAAACATTAGCTTATTTAATACCACATTGCTTCATTATAATGATTTTCAAATTTCAATTTCGTTCTTTTTATCTCATTATCAATATTGTTTGATAAACTGACACTTTTTTTTAAATACCACTTCCTTTTAAATATTCAAAACAGATTTTTACAAATTTGTTTTGTAAATCTGTTCTGATTATTGTTTGGTAATTTTTTCACAAGTGATTTGTACATACATATTAAGACATGCATGCATATTAAGTCTACTAAATTCATTAAGTTTTAATGTGTTTAACTGTAAAAATATTTGGTTTATGTAATCTCTGTGTCAACTTCCACTTTTGACTCTAACAGCCCTCTCCTGTAAAAGAAAAATCAGAACTATAAATGTTTTACAACTACGACCCCAGACTTCCACACAATCATGTCTGACAAAAATAGAAGGCCTTTCTGTTTAGTAATTTCTTTAACCTTACTTAAAACAGCAATAGATTTGGATATTCTGATAATTGGATAATTGTTGCTTCATCAATAGATTTGGGGGTTTGAATGGGACTGTTTGTTTTTCCTAGGAGCCACTTGATGATTGTGGTGTTGAGTGAACACAACCTGTATGAAAAGGAGGGACTTGAACAGATCTTTGGTGTCTCAAAAATATATGTGCAGAGCTACAACTACAAGACATTCAACAATGACATCATGCTTATTAAGGTTTGCAGAAGGGGAGTGGTGATGAAATAATAAATACCATGTAACAAAATTGACAAGGACTGGTTGCTCATCATTTCACTGGTTTGTGTTACAGCTCGATAAGCCAGCAATGCTGAACGCCAACGTCCAGCCAGTGAGGCTGCCTGATGAGAGCACCCCCGCAATAAAAGGGGACAGTTGCACTGTGAGCGGGTGGGGTGTGACACAGGTTTATAGTTACGTGCTGTCTCCAGTGCTCCGAGCTGTGGACGTGAAAGAAATATCGATGTGCAACTGGTACTACTGGGGCAGGATCACTGAGAACATGATTTGTGCTGGATCTCAATATGGTGGCAAAGATTCCTGCCAGGTACAAAAAACATTATTCTTTAAGAGTACATGTCTTTATGATCAACTTTTCCTACTGCTTTACCGTCATGGAAGAAAGTTCACCCTCTTTAAACTATAGTTTCACATGTCAGTTCACTTTAAAGTAAATTTTAAGATAGATAATCTGTGGAAAAAAAAACCTCAAGTATCCCTGCCTTCTCCCTGCAGGGATACATCACTCAGTCAGAAATAACCAATCAGAGCCAGGAGGAGGGTGTTAGCGCTATCAATCACTCTCCCCTCCCCTTGCTCTGTGCATCGCTACAGCTGGTTCACTAATGCAACAAATGCTAAGGCTTCTCTGTTCAACAATGGCTGTACATGTGAAACACTTTTTCATATATTTTCTTGCTATATTTAAAAAGTGCCAGTTTGTTTTGTTTTTCAGAGAAAGATATTTCTGTGCTGTCTGAAACAGGTGTTAACATTTTTTTTGTCAAATAAGAAAACAAAGTTTCCAAAGATACAGAAAAACACTAGAGTCCTGAACAGCACTAGAATCCATCACTACATTATGAAAAGCATCTCAACAAGACAAAAAAATGCAGTTTCTGACACTGCACTTTTATTTCAGGTCTGACTAAGTAAGATAAGCTAATCATCCTGTGCTTGGTTAACCACAGGGAGACTCCGGTGGCCCACTTGTCTGCAATGGCAACCTTGAGGGGATTGTCTCCTGGGGCATCAGTTGTGCAAATGCATATTTCCCCGGTGTCTACACCAAAGTGAGGAACTATGTGCCATGGATCAAATATATCATCAATTCTGATTAAACGTCAACACTTCTAACACATAATTTTGCCTTCATATCCTCATCGTACTATAAATAACTTTTAGTATAGCATAATAGCAAATCATTGTGTGATTTTCTTGTATTCATTTTTCCTATGCTTTATATAAAAGTCTTTCTTGCTTTTGTGGTTGTTTTGATGAAATATTATTGTCTTAGAATAAACTGTAGAACTACTTCTCTGACTGTCAAATAAATACAACTGAATTATTTAGGTGGTCACAATTAAGTAGTAATTTATTCTTTGAATGATTTCTAACATATTCCTAAATAAATGTATGTTTATTTGATCTTGTTTTACTTCATAAAGAACAGCATTTTTGTTTTAATAGTTATTGGATCACAATAAACTGCATAGTTAGCAAATGGCCTAAATGAGCTCATTCAATTTTTTCCCAGACGTTATTTCATGTACGATTCATTACATATCAGTTAGTCCTAAATTATCTTTGGGGATGAAAAATTTGCAAATTATTGTCTTGAAAATGTATATTTCAAAGACTTTTGACAATAATGTAAGGTTATAATTCATACATATTAATCAAAGTGAGACAATCAATTTCAGTTGCAAAATTCAACATAAAAGCACATATGTCCTGACTTAATTCAACAGTTCATCTGCTTGTGGGTTAAATGTATAAATCAGTGTAACAATTTTTGAATGTATATTTGCATTACTGCAGTGCTCCTTAAGACATAGCTCAAATAATCTCAAAAAGGAAATAATGTGTGATGTTTATATCTGTATGAACTAAAATCTTTGTGATATAATTCACACACTGGTTGAACCTAAAAAGAATGTGTAAGTAATAAAGTAAATTTTCTAAACTTACAAAGTAAATTGAATAATTGGGTTTTCTGTATTATACTGCATTTTGTTGGTCTCCAGTTAAGGTAGACCCACTCCTGCAGTTTGTCTTTTCCACCAACTGTTTTTCAAAATAAAGAATTCTTGCTGTTGCACTTTTTCAACGCCAGATGTCACTAAAAATAATGCCTAAATGCTTCTGTGGCGCATGCGTGGATGGTGTTGTTTTTTTGTTGCGACAACAGTCCGCGCTACCTTAGAACAACAGTAAACCCGAGACAGAAGTTCACAGAAAGAGCTATTTAAATTCCTTATCTGGGTTCATCATGTCTGTGAAACACGTCATTAGCCGAGGGCTGGAGCTCGGCCGGTCCTTTCTTCAGATTGGTCTCCTTAAATCAGGCGGCCGAGTCGCAGCAAAGCTCCGAGCTGACCGTTTCCGTGTCGGCCCGTCGGTCCGCACCGTTCAGCCTCAGGCTTTCCTGCCGGCCCGGTACCGCTATTACCGCACCTCTCTGAGGGGTCTGGCGGCTCAGCTTCAGTCCGCCGGTTTTAGAAGGAGGTTTACCGGCGCGTCGCCTCGGAACAGGGCCGTGTTTCTGGCTTTTGGCCTCGGCGTGGGGCTTATCGAGCAGCAGCTGGAGGAGGACAGACAGAGCGCTGCAACATGTCAAGAAATACAGGTATGGTGACCTAAAGTTGGACAGATTCAGTACTTCTGTTTCAAAGTCTTCAAGCAATCTTGACTGCTTTTGAAAATTCTTACTTGGTTTGGTCAGACCTCAATAGATTTATTATGCATTTCCCACACAGCATATTTAATTTTTAATCCAAAGGGCAAATAAATGTTACTCTGTCCTCCTGGATGTTATGTTATGATAATGTAAAAAAAAAATCAGCTGTAGCATCCCCTTCAATTTTCAGAACATGTTTGCTGCAGCGGTGGTTCATGTTTGGTTTGGAGATGGTTTGTCCAATATAAAGTGGAAACGATCCAAGTTAGAAATGTCTTGTAACCTGTTTGTCCTCCTAATGCGCAGGCTGTGTTTAAGAAGAAAAAAATCCAGAGCACACTGAGACCTTTCACCTCTGGATTCAAACTAGAGGACTACGTTATAGGGAACCAGATTGGTAAAGGCTCCAACGCGGCCGTGTACGAGGCTGCAGCTCAGTTTGCTCACCCTAAGAAGATGGAGAGAGACTCCACGCTAGTGGAACTACGGGACAATGAAGTGGAAGTCCAGAATGTGCGATCTGCAGCATGCTGCTCCTTAAGAAACTTCCCTTTGGCTATCAAAATGTTGTGGAACTTTGGGGTGAGTGAGTAACCTGCAGAAAATGTTGTTATATAGTGATGAATGAAAGCTTCAAAAAATTGCTCAAATTATTAGAGGTGCTGTCTGAATCAATTACAAATGCTCAAAAATTTATTTTATTTCTTAGCAAAATTATTTATTTATTTTTTATTATTATAAGAAAACGCTAGGAAGCTATGCTAGCCTAATAGAGGTAATTTCGGTTTCAGAATTTTATGCACAAGCCTATTTTTGTTTAAATGTAAACTGATGGAGCGTTCTAATTTTTGCTGTTTTTTGTACACAGGCTGGATCTTCAAGTGAGGCAATATTAAAATCTATGTCACAAGAACTTGTCCCATCTGGTCCTCTGGCCTTAAAACAGGAAAAAGAGCACATTACTCTGGATGGGTAAATATGTGTAATGTGTAATATCTTGTAATCCTGGTCTGATGCACAGATCAAAGGACTACAAACATGCTGATGAATCCTTCTGTAATGCAGACATTTCGGAGTGCTTCCCAAAAGAGTTTCAGCTCACCCAAACGTGATCAGAGTGTATCGGGCTTTCACCGCAGACGTGCCATTGCTACCAGGTGCGGAGGAGGAATATCCAGATGTGCTGCCAGCTCGGCTCAACCCCGCAGGCATCGGGAACAATCGCACTCTTTTCCTAGTTATGAAAAAGTATGGCTTGAAAAAGTTAAATATGGCTTGCCATATTTAATCTAAAATCTCCCACTGGTTTATATTATCAGATTTAACACATGCGGTCCTTCATTGAACTCCTGTTGTTTTTGCTTTATAGTTATCCTTACACACTGCGGCAGTACCTGCAGGTTTCCACACCCAACCGCAGGCAGGGCTCTCTTATGGTGCTGCAGCTTCTGGAGGGGGTAGACCATCTGTGCAGGCAGGGTGTTGCTCACAGGGATCTGAAGTCAGACAACATACTGCTAGAGTTTGACTCAGGTGAGATATAAAAACACACAATAAACCCCAGGTTAATCATGTTTCTATAATATTCTGTAATATTTTGGCCCTCTCTCCTTTATTTGTCTTGTAGGTGGCTGCCCCCGTTTAGTAATTACTGACTTTGGCTGCTGCCTGACCCAGAATGACTCCAGCTTACAGCTTCCTTTTAACAGCATGTGGGTCAGCAGAGGAGGAAACGCTTCACTCATGGCTCCTGAGGTGAGTCTAAATACTTCAACCACAGTAAATATTCTCTGACACAAGTGAAATATTTCAATATGAAACTTCAGGAAGGTAACAAAATTAGCCATGATGTACCTTACCTCTTAAAGTGTCACTTTGTCATATTTTGTAATGCTAAAACTGCAAACCTCAATGGGTTTTGTTGGGATATTTTGACTGTTTAACCCTGAGATGAAATTAGAATTCATTTTATTAATATATTGAATCCATCTGTGTGTAATCTAAACAGTTTAGCAAACCTGTCTGACAAACTTGTCATCACAGTAAGGCCACAAAATATTGTGATAAAACCATAAGTCTGTATTCCCCATGTGTAAAATTAATTAAGACATACTTCGTAAAACTTAATTTTCCTTTTGCTTGACTTTGTGTTGGATCATAGCATAAAAACCAAATAAACAAACTGAAGTTTATTGCTATCATGTAAAAACAAAAAAGTGAAAAAGCTGAATTGACATAAATATTTATGTGTTAAAACTCATTAAAATTTGTTATTCTTGTCTCCAGGTGGCGACTGCAGCTCCAGGTCCTGATGTGGTGATTGACTACACCAAGACGGATGCCTGGGCTGTGGGGGCAATCTCCTATGAGATATTCGGACTGCAGAATCCTTTCTACGGACCTGCAGGATTGCACAGCACAAACTACCAGGAGAAGCAGCTACCTCCTCTTCCTGCCTGTGCTCCAGCGGATGTTCAGTTGGTCACTAAACTGCTACTCAGGAGGAACCCAAACAAGGTAAAAGCAGACTCCTAACTGAAGGACAAGTTAGGACCAAAAAAAGTACAAATACCTGGAATCTGCACTGAATGCATTATTCTTCCCCTGCAGCGCCCCAGTGCTCGTGTTGCAGCTAACATGCTGCATCTCAGCCTCTGGGGTCGCAAAGCCCTAGCCAATCAGGACAGCGCTGCCATGAGAAAGCTGGTTGATTGGCTGCTGTGCCAGTCGGCTGTGGTACTCCTGCAGGGCTGCAGCGGTCCCAGTGGAAACAGAGTGGAGGCGGAGCTTCAGAGGAGCTTCCTGTCTAACCTAGATCTAGAAGAACTGCGTGTTGCTGTGGGCTTCCTCCTTTATGGGCAAGATCAGAGCAGGGTCTGCATCATGTTTCCATAAATTCACTGAAAATTCTTGTGTGTTTAGTTAATAAGCTAGTATAAGTGTTAGTGTTATGCGTCGTTTCTACGATGCAGTTGGAGCACTTTTGTGGATTGTATTATCCTTCTCCTGTGCGTTATACACAATATCCCACACAAATCTTCTGTTGTGTTTCACTTAGCATAAATCTATTTCTAACCAGTGCTCTGCATTTAAATCTCAGGGTAAAAGACATTTGTGTCTCTGCATCTGTTTTTCTTAATGTAGTTCCCCCAAAATGAGTTGTTAATGATACAGAATACTGATGGCTACTTGTAGCGGGGTTGTTAAAGATGCAATATATTTTATTTTTTTAAAATATTTACAAGGAAGAACCACTACACATACAGTAATTTTTAAGCCTACGGCACAAAGTTGAGGCCAATGCGGATTTTTTAAATTAAAACAATGCATTGCACTTGTTAGGCTCTACTGTGTAGGGTAACATACAGTAGTTGCTATTCTCATTAAACACCTGGTTACCATTAAATGTCTCTATAAGATTGCAGATATTTATGTATTTTTCTGCATGCTTTTGAACACAATACATGTGAAAATCTAAAAAAAAAATTGTTTTGCCGTTTGCACTTTATGTCCAAGTTTGCACATTTGCTGAACCCTAACCAAATATTACAGATGGGGGTGCTGCGGAAACTAAATGAAAATATTTAAATTTGTTAGTGTTAAGAAAATGTTTAAAAATAAAGGAGTCTATAAATCTGCAAGTCCGATTTTTTTTTTGTGTGTGTGTGTGTGTACAGAAAAATGTAGTTTTGTTCAAAGAGGGCAGCTGATTTGATGCTTGAATTCTTTGGCAGATTTCCTATAATTTTTTTTTTTTTTGCATTTGTTAAAGAATAAAGCAATGAATAACTGCATCTGTTGGGTTCACAGAAGCAAATAAAAACAAGAAGACTTCAGTTTAGGAAACTTTATTACAGATCCAATCTGACAGGAAAGAATCTTGTGGTAACCTAATATTTAACTTCAGAATTGAGAAAATGTGCTCATCTTAATTCATCCTCGCACTACATTTAATACTCCTCTCCTTCTTCCTCTCCCTCACCCTCAATTGAGTCGACTCCCACCTCTTCATAATCCTTTTCCAGAGCCGCCATATCCTCCCTGGCTTCAGAGAACTCTCCCTCCTCCATCCCCTCACCCACGTACCAGTGGACGAAGGCCCTCTTGGCGTACATCAGGTCAAACTTGTGGTCAAGCCTTGCCCAGGCCTCTGCAATGGCTGTGGTGTTGCTCAGCATGCACACCGCCCTCTGGACCTTAGCGAGGTCACCACCAGGAACCACAGTGGGTGGTTGGTAGTTGATGCCAACCTTGAAACCAGTGGGGCACCAGTCCACAAACTGAATAGAGCGCTTGGTTTTAATGGTGGCGATGGCGGCGTTGACGTCTTTGGGAACAACATCGCCACGGTACAGGAGACAGCAGGCCATGTACTTGCCATGACGAGGGTCGCACTTCACCATCTGATTGGCCGGCTCAAAGCAAGCGTTGGTGATCTCAGCCACTGAGAGCTGCTCGTGGTAGGCCTTCTCGGCAGAGATCACAGGGGCGTAAGTGGCGAGAGGGAAGTGGATACGAGGGTATGGCACCAAGTTGGTCTGAAACTCCGTCAGATCAACGTTCAGGGCGCCATCGAAACGTAAGGAGGCGGTAATGGAGGACACAATCTGGCTGATCAGCCTGTTCAGGTTGGTGTAGGTGGGGCGCTCAATGTCGAGGTTTCTGCGGCAGATATCGTAGATGGCCTCGTTGTCCACCATGAAGGCGCAGTCGGAGTGCTCCAGGGTGGTGTGGGTGGTCAGGATGGAGTTGTAGGGCTCCACCACCGCGGTGGACACCTGAGGAGCCGGGTAGATGGAGAACTCCAGCTTGGACTTCTTGCCATAATCCACCGAGAGACGCTCCATCAGCAGGGAGGTGAAACCAGAACCGGTTCCACCCCCGAAGCTGTGGAAAACCAGGAAGCCCTGCAGGCCTGTGCACTGGTCAGCCTGGAGTAACAGAAACATAATGTGAGTCTGCTGTATAAGGTATAATATATTTTAACTGTAGTCATACTCTTTGGTTTGTGTTCAGACCCCTTGCGTTCCAGTTCCAAGTTGTTTAGGGTATATCTCTAAGCTTCAAAGTCTTCATTCTAGTAAAATACCTAGAGGTCACTCAGACTGAATAAAAAAATATAAATTTTCCAGTCTTAACACAAATTCTTGTTTGGATTTTATTCTCCACTTTGAATGGAGTTTCAAATAGCCAAAGGAGTTTGATATACAGTAGCCAGCGTAGAGGTGCATAAACTTGACATTGTGTTTTTTTTCTAACCTTGTGATATATGTTTAGTGCCCAGTCTTAACATCTGGTGTTGTGAGACTCTGGCTGAATGTGACATTAGTTTGAAAATACAGGTCGATGGTATTCGGAAGATATTAGCCAAAAATGATTGGGCTCCACACAGTCTTTACAATTTGAATATTACACACACTGCAATTGCAATAGATTTGTGATAAATTGTGCAGCACTAAGCCCATCCTATGCAGCATGGGACTGCCACCAACCAAGTCATTTATGAGGATTTAGGATTCAGGGCCAAAATGTTCAGCTTTGGTCTCTGACCAAAGGATTTTCCCTCCTAAACTGTGGAATCTGCAACTTAGGTGGTCGCTTCTCTGATTAATGCTCTCCTTGTGGGATCTGTCAGTTTTGCACTGGGTTCAGTTTTGGTGAATCAAACTAAAAGGGTCTGAACACAAATGCAAGCCATACTTTCAAATTTTTTATTTGCTAAAAATGTTTTTAAAATAATAAATTATTTCCTGTCAACTTCGCACTTAGGTGTAGCATCAAATTCAAACAAAATGCTTTATTAAATTAGGGCAATTCAAGAATTACTTTGTCAAGAGCCTGTTTTGTAAAATTGACCCACCAGTTTGCGGATCCTGTCCAGAACCAGATCGATGATCTCTTTTCCGATGGTGTAGTGTCCGCGGGCGTAGTTGTTGGCAGCATCTTCCTTCCCAGTTATCAGCTGCTCAGGATGGAACAGCTGGCGGTACGTCCCAGTGCGGACTTCATCTAAGGAGGTAAATGCAATAAGATCAATTCTTCAGTTTAATCAGTAAATAATGAGAAATTAATACTAATATTTCTGGAATTTACCAATGACTGTGGGTTCCAGGTCCACAAAGACAGCTCTTGGGACATGTTTTCCAGCTCCAGTCTCACTAAAGAAGGTGTTGAAAGAGTCATCTCCACCGCCGATGGCTTTATCGCTGGGCATCTGTCCATCAGGCTGGATCCCATGTTCCAGGCAGTACAGCTCCCAGCAGGCATTACCAATCTGGACACCAGCCTGACCAACATGGATGGAGATACACTCACGCTGGAAAGACAAACAAAAAATTTTCATTTTTACTAAAGGAAACAATTTTTCAGAGAAGATCAAGACAAGGACAAGAATGGTAAACTCTTCTTTGTAAGGCCATGTACATTTTCTCTGCTTACATTTTTTTTTTTTTTTTACAAAAACAATTCTTTAAAAAATTGCGAGTCTTTGTCCTTTGCTTTAAATAAAGCAGTGCGTTTTGTGCTGCGACACCAAACTGCCAGTTGCTCAGAGGATTACTGTAGAGAGAGGATTATCTAGGTCAGACATGTTGCAGTGGGCTGGCTGGGAAGCTCTGCTCTGCTCAGCCTGTTTGCCATCGGATTCATGCTGAAATAGATTTTTTTTATGGTGAAGAATATATAAATATTTCACTCAGTTTGGTAAAACTGCTTTTTAATTTTAATGGATTGCATTTTGTTAAGTGTTAGATTTATTTGGTGTACATTTACACAAGGACGCCTTACAGGCACAGACAACCAACCTGATAACCTGCTAACGAGTTAATAAAGACATGATGGTTAAAGAAAGGCATGAACACCGATTTAGAACCGCCCTTATATAAGTGAAACATTTCAGACAAAATTGAAATAGATATAATAATACATTTATTATTGTCAATAATAATACAATAATTATTGTCAGGTTAAAAATGTATCAAGACAAAACGCAATACAGAAATGACCTGCTTTTCTTAGATAAGACTTCAAAAATAGCAGCTTTGCAAATAAAATGTAAGGCATGCTTACCATGTTCTCTTGTCGATGTTATGCAATGTATTGAGACGGGTTCGGAGGAGAGTGTGCGTCCGCGCAGCTCTGTGGATGAAAGCTGCTTTGGTGACGCACTGCACGCGTCCTCAGGGAGGATACAGAGGCGCGCGCATCATCCATCACCACCCACACAAACCTGACATCAACCTGTACGAAGGCGCAGACAGAGAGATGCAGCTGAGCCAGAGGAGCGTATCTGGTACAAAAAAAATATTGGCATGGAAATAAATAAATAAATCACAAAATGGTGGATGGGCTAAAGATGAGGAGGTGCGCCATTTTATTGGGAAATTAGGGGACATCCAGGTCTTTCAACACATCGCCCACATCCTGAATCAGATTCTTTATATTGTTTTATTATTATTTTTTAACGTCAGTCCAAAATGACTGAGCCCTTATAGGAAACTGCTTGTGCCACCTTTCAAGCATTTAGACATGTCTTTTCTACCATGCTTTTTTGCAAGAATAGTTTCAGCCAAATTGGAAGAATATTAAGCACGAACAGCCTGTTTCGGGCTCTTCATGCCTCCAAGTACTGTAATCATTTACTTGTATTTCAGTTTAACGAGGCCAAAAACAGCTTCTGTTTTCAAAACATGATTCTCTTGACGCTTAGTCTGAACAATAAAATCATTTCCGGCCGCACTCCATCGGGCCTTTTTGTAGGACTGAATATTTATGGAGTACGGCACGCTGTACATGTAAAATGTTTTTTCTTTTTAATTAGTTTTTTTTTAATTAGCACCAACCTAAAAGTCACACACATTGTTCTGTAATGTTGAACTCTGATCTGTTAAGTGAGGCTCCTCCCACAGCCCGCCTCCATTCTTAAGAATATTAACTTTTGCTGCGTTCAAGCTTCCAAGTGCGTTGTGTTTTCAATGCTCACAAGCACAGGATTAATGAGAAAACACTCTATCTGCCAGCTGCTGTGACAGACATAGTGTTTCTTTATTTGGATGACTATTTCAATACCTAACATGTACACGGTCAGTTAAATATAACTGCATATAGTACAGATTCTAGTCATGCGGTTTGACGGATACATGATTACGAGCTCATGAACGTCACAGAGTAGGTTGCCCTTTCGCACATACCTTTGTTGTATTTCACTTAAACAGCAGACATGTTTTGGAGAAACTTAAGTTTAACTCGAGCAGCAGTGACTTTCTTTTCCTTACCGCCCCGACAAGCTTTGGGTCTCTGCAGCAGCCGAACCGGAGGGTGCTTAATTCCGAGCCGGGAGAGCTCCGGGACCCGATACAATGTTCCACCGAGCGCAGAGTTTGTTGCACGGGTGTCTGGGATCTCCACCATGGCCAAGTTACCTTATCGTGAGACGGCCGACGGGCTGGACGCGGCGTTCGTTGGGGTTCCGATTGATAGTGGGACTTCGAACCGGCCAGGAGCAAGGTGCCATTTGTCCTCCTCTAAGTGGTCAAACATAGAAAGAGTGTCATTAGTGATTTACTGTAGTTAAAAGGCATATCTTTTCATGATCTTGACTATCCACACTGAAAAAAGTGTGATCAGGGTTAAGTAATATTTACTAAATAAATAAGAGCAAACTATACATAATAAAAAAGACTTTGTGCAGTTTTGAATCTCACTGAGTTGAATTAACAAAATTTTGAATATATTTTAATTGCATTCTACTCGGTTTTTATTTCAATAAAATCAGCAGAAAAACAATAAGTAGAATTTATTTATTTTCATAGGTAAAGTCAAAAGTGCAGAAAATTGATAAATTTTACTCATTGGGAGGCCTTTATTTTTCCCGCCCCAAAGCATTTGAACATCCAGTCTGCTTGGCATTTCATGGACTACCGTTTGCTTAAAGGTAAGACATGTTTTAATTGTTCTTAGTTAAAATAATTCAAGTGTCTGTAGCAGTTAAACGTTGTCTTAAGTTACTGCAAATGACCAAACATGGCAACTTTAAAGTTATAGTGTGAAGGATTTGAAGTCAGTCATCTTTGATTTGACTAAATACATCGCAATGATTGAAAATGTAGTCTCAATGTCACAATTTAATGTGACTAACGTAATACGATATATAGTGGCCGTAGAATACAAGCTACTCTTTTATTTAATGTAGTTTTTTGGCCTCAGCTCAAGCTCCCTCCCCCACCTTAACAAGCTAGCTAGCATGTTTGGGCTCCATAATGGAGGAACAGACGTTGTTTTCAACGGTGAGAGGCTAATCAACTTAGGAGTTTCGTTTAAAGTTACTGCATTTAGTTTTTACTATTAAAATATACTCAAGTAGCATTTTTACTCAAATAGCATGTTAAAAGCTGATTTCTAATCAGTTTTTATAACGTTACACATTTCGGAAGAAAAATCTGCCTTTTTACATTTTGAGACAAAGTGCGCTGTTTCTTCTTTCTTCTTTTAATTTGCCGTTATTTTCATGGAACGTCTGTTATTGTGTTTTGAGCACAGTGGCTGGTGTTTTGCTAAACCCAAGTTCACCGGCTCTCACTGAGGCTCTCCATTAACGTTACGTTAGTTACATTCAGATGGCACAAACGGCTTTCTCGTTTTTTCCTGTTTTCTCGGAAAAACGTTTTGCTTTCAAACTGTGGTTGCAGCTCACACTGACAGATAAACAGTGAGATGCGTCTGTGAATGTTGGGTTGAAATCAGTACGTAGAGCTTCGTACTGACTGCTGCCACAGAGAGACTGAGAGAAATGCTTCGTTAGTCCGTTTTGGGCATCTTTGACTTTAATATTTATTGTTTGGCATTTGTTGATGTGCATATATCTGTGGTGCCTTTAGATGTGCTGCATTCAGACAGACAGGAAGCTTTAAGAGAAACATCACCGCTTCTGTCTTCCGTGCAGTTTGCTAACACTGTCACTTGCTATGGAGCAAAGTACACTGTTAGGATGAGCTTGCCTCATGGCTCTACTGGGGGACTTCCTGACTTTGCTGAGATTATTCAGATAGCCATTTTAAACAACCGTGCACATTTCATTGTGAAGTCACTACAAGCATGGCATGAAGAGCATCTTAGATCTTTTCAACTAGAGAACACTGGCAAAATGGCTCTTGTTGAGCAGCAGAAACTTGGTGATGTACAGTGTACATGGCTGCATACAGTGTGGGAGGAAAACGCTTGGTCACACTAAAACGTCACATCTGTTGTTTGTTTTAGGTAATTTTGATAAATTATGTTAACCTTTACATCTCATAACATCTGTTTTTAAAACCATTGTTCTGGAAATATAACAACAGGATCCTTTTTTGTTGACATTTTAGCAATTTAATAATCATAATTATGGCACACGCATTTAATGTTACGATTATAAGTGTGGTGTTCCACTTAAATAAGTACAGATTTTATTTATAAATGTTTTTTATACAGGTTTTTTATGTACTGTATAACAATATATTTAACTTTTGTCTATTCTTGTCTGGATGGCAGAGATGGAGGCAAAACTCAGAGTAATAATTGACGACCGAATTGAGAAGTTGGTCCTCCCATCAGGCATCCCGCCCACTGTGGAGGAGCTGCATAATATTGTGAAGGAGACCTTTGGATTTCTACTGAGTTCAGTCTTCAGTATTTTGATGTGAAATTTGAAGATTATTTTACTCTTCACAACAGTGATCTTATCAAACACAAAGGCACCATAAAGGGAGAGGATGAAGAAAGTCAAGAACAAGAGAGGATTCAGTTGTTTACTGAAGTAAAGAAAGAGGACAACAACGCATTGATAAAAGAAAAAATGGCCAAAACATTTGCACACAGAAGAAACGAAATCATTAACCAATCACCCAGTATAGAGAAATTAAAGCCAGATGGCCCGCTCTATTTGAGCCGTCTCACGTGAGTTATAAGTGCATGCTAATCAGAAATATTCCTAGTCAATGTGAAGGATTGCATTTGTGATTCTGCATTTAGCTATTTGATACAAAATGTGTTGCGTTACTGTCATCTATTTTATAGATCAAATTTGATCCATCTTCTTGCTTTTGAAAAATGTCGTAAGAACAGTATGTATGTTTGTAATATTTGAGGCTTTAAAACTGGTTTCATGATTTATCTTTCAGATCCAGGATGAGTTTCACAGAATCACAATGGTGCATCTTGAATCAAAGATCATGTCCAAACTGGATGAATATACTCCTCGACTTCTGAACCTCTTCCACTCCAAGGGCGGAACCATGGAGTTGAGGTTGCAGGCTATCCTACTCGAGGTATCTTTCATTGAGCATTATGGTTGCTAATATTTCATTCTCAAAATTTTGTGTTTAAACTTCTGGAATATCATTACTTAAATTTACTGGAGGTTAGTCTGTGATTCTCTTTATCAATGGAATATGAAATAATCGCATGAAAATTTGTTTCAGTAGTGTTTTATTACACTGGTCCTCAAGATGGCACAGGAAGGATCCTTGAGCTTATTAACAGTAATATAAATCACCAGGTGTTTATTTTTTTCGTTTCAGACTCCAAGCAATCCTGACATCAACATGACCAGAGATGTTACCATTTGATGTTTGATGATGTACCTTGGGGAATCTACAGATCAACTCTTACAAGAGTATGATGTAAGTTTAAGTAGATATTAAAATATAAAGTAGGTGATTTATCTCATCTCTTCTAATTGGTATTCGTTGGAAATTTTTTAGTGTTATCTCATATTTGTCTAAAACACTGACAAATAGAGTGCATTACAAGCAACGGCTGACAAACTCCAGATTTTCTTGTCCAAACAGTTGTAAGCAATTTGGGAAATAGAACCTTCTCCTTTAGCTGTACTGTCTAATATGCACAATGTTCTTGCTATTACAGGATGCTGATGAAGACAGTGTGTCACAGGACCTTGCTGTTCAAAGCCTGAAGATCTACAACATCAAAGCTAACACGTCAGAGGATCCAGACATCGGTATCGTGGTGGACAGCGTGAAAATTCTAACTGCTCTGGGTAACTTTAAAAGGGCTTGCTCCCTGCTTGTTGGATTGGTGTATGCTATGAGTCTTGCCTATCCAAAGAAGCTCAGATACACGTTTGAAGTGTTTCAGAAACTTCTCCTCGGACTGGATAGTTCAAAGCTCTCCACAAAAGTGAACAGCCTCAGGAATAAACTAATGGCTTAAGAAAACGGACCCTTACTAAACAAAAGGGAATAGACAAGCCACTGTCAAAACCAACACGCAAAACTTTGTGACATGCTCTGTGAAGTTAGTTAAAATTTGGGTAATTTTCAGTTCAGTGGATTTCTGCATGTGTATTTTTTCTTGCAGTACATTACAGTTAACTAGCCTTTCTAAGGACTGACCCCTTGTTCTCATATGTGGTAGTGCGGCCTGTTATATGGCTTTGGATCTGTTCAGGTCTGTCACATGAATCCTTGTCCCTTATACAGCATAGAGAATCCACTATTGCCTTTTTGGAGAGTCCATGCAGGCTTCACCACTGAAGGGTGATGATCTGCAGGCTGCAAAATGCTGTTGTGTTTCATTTGCACTTTATATAATATGTTTTTTGTTCAGTTCTGTCTTTCAACTTATTTTTCGAAAAGGAAAGTAAGTGTCACGGAGCCAACAGCCCCAACACAGTGACAAGATGTAGCATGAACATGCAAAACAAGAAAATGGAAGTTTTTATGCCTCAAAGGTCTCGCCCATCTTTCACATATTGTCATGTGTTTTCCCCAGGTAAGATTTATACTTGTGTTGTGCTCTGCATGCCTCTTAAACATAAAGTTAACTATGTTTATGTGATTGATAAATTGTTGAAGCAAGCTTAACTGAGTCCAAGTTGATTTTTGTTGATGTGATGGCTCTAAAAAATCATGTTAACTATACTTTGAGCAGAGTGGCACTATGTTTTGACTTGATACTGATATATTGTATATTGCCCCTTCTCTGTTTTATTGTTGTATTTTGGAATTTTGCACTTGTTGGGTGCTGGATAATCACGTTTTATAAAGTTTCACAAAGAAATGCTGCTGCTGTTTAATTTGTTTTTTGATGCCACTCAAGTTTGGTCAGTATATTGTGTAAATTAGACTTAAAAAAATTATGGCAACAAAGTGACACTCAATATTATTGAATAGATTTAAAGTCCTATGACACAAATAATAACTTAGAATTTATCAATTATTTTAGCTACAAATGACTAAGAACAACAGTGTTAATGTGTTGAATCAAGCAATAATGTGCTAAAATATGAGTTTATCATTTATATTATTTACTTAATCCAAATAATTTTTATGCTGATCTTTAGTAAATCCAAATCAATTTCAGCCATTTAATTAATAAATATAAAATTAATTTCACCTAGATTAACAGTAAATATGAATCAATTTCCCACAGATATTTCGTAAATCTAAATAATCTTTTCTCAGAAACTTAGTAAATAGAAATAATTTTTCCTTGTAAAATTGAGTTGGATTTACTAAATATTTTTTGTCAATATAACTTATCATTTGGCTTGATATTACTAAATCCAAGACATTTCAGCTGTTGATTTTATTAAGATGTACTTGATTTTTTAAGTTAAGTTAAGTTAAAATATTCAATACTTTTTACTCATTATTGTAGAACATAAAATCTACTCAATTATATTACGTGTCACTTTGTTGCCTCAATTTTTTTGAGTAACCATTGGTCAAATTTTTCTGAGTGCAGCTTTATGCATGAAAGAGTGCAAGACTGTGAAAAGTATTTGCCCCCTTAGAAATTTCTTGTTAATTTCACTGACAATCAAACTAACCTAAGAGCAGTTTTCAAATAATAATTTCCAAAACCAGCCAGGTCCTAATAACTGCTCGTGACACTCTAGGCAGCAGTAAAACCCATCGATCTGATAACTGCCAATCAGAGGAGGGATTTTGGCCCACTTCTATTTGCAGAATTGCTGTAAGTTCCGTGTACCATGGAGGATTTTAAGCAATGGACAACTTGTATAAAGTCGTCCCAAAGAACCCTAATTGGAAGTCCAGACATTGACTAGGCCACTTAGTGTGCTTCAGATTCAGTTTTCTCAAATGGCCAAGTTGAACAAGAAAACATTTGTTCCCTAATCTTTTTGCACTCACTCAGACTATCTCTGTCTGATATTAAAGTTTTCTTGATGATTTGAAACAATTAAGTGCAAAGAAAAACATAAACAAACCAAAACAGAATGTGCATGGGGTTTGCAGGGTAACAAATTTAACTGCATGTATTAATGTCTACGCTTTATACACACTCTACAGGTTTGGTCCACGACAGATCAGAGCAGAGTCTGCCTTGCTAAGGGCTTACAACAGTGGCACCAGGGCAGCGCCTTTCGAGTCAGTGATGGTTGCTGACATCGGGGACGTAAACGTTAACTTGTACGATTTGAAAGACACCTGCAAGCGCATCACGGAGGCCTACAGAAAAATACTGGCCACTGGCTGTATACCTCTGACTATGGGTGAGAGCGGCTGAGATCATAGATATCAACTGTTTGCTCAGGTTTTCAGAAAACAATAGCTCAGTAAATGATTTGGCATCTGGAGACAAAGTCTGACACCTGTGTGCAATAATTAATTATCTAGTATGCTCTTTCATAGCTAATATGTAAAGCAAATGTTGGTATTTGCAGGTGGCGATCACTCTATTACGTACCCAATACTGCAAGCTGTTGCAGAGAAGTAAGTACCCATCATTAGAAAGAGCTACATGATTGAGATGATCAAAATTCAAGATTGTTCAACCAAAGTGTACATATACTTTTTAAACAAAAATTGAGGATTTGAACCCTAATTGAGCTTGCGATTATTTATCTAATTTCACTATCCCATTTTAGGCACTGGATAGAAGAAAAATAATTTTTTCATGCGGGTTTGATACAGAACAGAAGCAGCCCAGTGAGTTGTGGTTCTTGTTGGTTATAATTTCATTAAACATAGTCTTTTATGGTCTGTATTCTGTCAGGTAGATAATTCACTCCAGGCTTTCCTTAGGAAGGACCTGGCAGCATATATTGTTCCAAAACCTTGAATAAAATTACTATTGGTGTCTTCACAAATATGTGTCTTGGCACTTCATCCACACCATAAAAGTCGCTGAACGTCTTCTTTTCTCTTTAGCTAAGTGGATTCAGTCTTGTTGGGATTGAGAAATTCATTTCAGCTTTTAGATTAATTAGTGAAGATTCAGGTTTGTTTTTCCAACTCCAAAAACGACTTTAAATTCCTTACTCATATGGAGCTTTTTCTTGGCATAGCAGCTGCACAACAAACTGTGATTTCCAAAGTTCTCCTGAACCAGTCTGTTTTTAATTGAAAAGCTAATGATGGAGGTTTATTTTAAGCAGGTATGTTTGTTTTTGATGCATAGGAGGAGAGGGGGGTGTAGAATGAGATTTGCTACATAGACATGTTGTTTTTACACCTGTTTTGATTTCTGGTGTGTGTATGATCATGTTTTTGCATAAGAAAATATGTACTATTATAGAATCTGCATAAAAGTTGTAGAAGCTGCTTTCTGCTTATTACAAGATATAATAATTTTCTTACATTAAAATTATTTCCAGAACCACAGATTGAATCATGCGACCCAGTTTGGGACCTAAAACAATTTCACTGTAAAATATATCTATTGAATACTCCACATTTAGTTGTCTGTGTGATAACTTGTCAGGCATGGCCCGGTGGGTTTAGTTCATGTGGACGCTCATGCGGACACCAGTGACGTGGTTCTGGGGGAGAGGATCAGCCACGGGACCCCGTTCAGACGCTGTGTAGAGGAGGGGCTCCTGGACTGCCGGCGGGTGGTTCAGATCGGCCTGCGGGGGAGCGGGTACTCAGCGGACGCGTACAAATGGAGTCGGGCTCAGGTACAGTCTGGGTTTCTGTTACATGGATCCCTCATGATGGTTTTACACCATACTAGTAACAGTGTTAGAAATGTCACACTGCATTGTTAATGGTTTGAAACCTGTAATCAGCCAGTTCAGGGCTGCACTGTGGTGAAAAGTGTTTGGAGCTGAAATCTTTTCTTTTGTCATTTCTTCCTTCCTGTTATTGTCATTCCTTACTTTCTTCCTTTTTTAAATAATTTCTTGTACTTTCTTTCTATTCTATTTTCTTCCATTTACATTCTTCTATTTATCAGTGTTATTTGGGTCTTTCCTGTCTTTCCATCCTTTCTTCCCTTTCTTATTATTTCAGTTTTTTGTCTTCTTCTCTCATACTTTTTATATCATTCATTTTTTCTTTTAAACATGCTTCTCATTCCTTCGATCCATTTTCTCTTGATTGGGTCCTTCTTTCTTTCCTTCTATTCCTCCCTCAATTCCTCATCTTCTAACTCCCTTCTTTCTTTCTTTCTTTCTTTCTTTCTTTCTTTCTTTCTTTCTTTCTTTCTTTCTTTCTTTCTTTCTTTCTTTCTTTCTTTCTTTCTTTCTTTCTTTCTTCTTTCTTTCTTTCTTTCTTTCTTTCTTTCTTTCTTTCTTTCTTTCTTTCTTTCTTTCTTTCTTTCTTTCTTTCTTTCTTTCTTTCTTTCTTTCTTTCTTTCTTTCTTTCTTATAGCCTCTTCAATTTTCTCCTTCTTTTAGTCTTTATTTCCTTCCTCATCTCCTTTTGTATTCTTTATCTTCTCTGCCTCCTTCTTTCCTTTTTTCTAGTCTTTCCTTTGATCTAGTCTTCACCACTTCCTTATTTCTTCCTAATCTAAAATGTTTGCATTCCTTTGCGACATTCAGGTTGTAACAATCCTTTCCTTCATCACATTTAAGTCACAAAGCAATGAAAACAATCCCACATCTTCCCATTTTTTTCTTATCTGCAGGGTTTTCGTGTGGTCCAGGTGGAAGAGTGTTGGTTCACGTCTCTCTCGCCTCTGATGTCTGAAGTGAGGGCTCAGATGGGCGATGGCCCGGTCTACCTCAGTTTTGATATTGACGCTCTTGATCCAGGTTTTGCTCCCGGAACAGGAACACCGGAGATAGCAGGACTCACTCCCATACAGGTAAACACAAGTAGCAGTCATTATAACTTGTCAATGAAATGCTGATTTAAACATTATTGTCTGGGTTTTACCTGTAAGGAGATTCTAATTTATTAGATCTAATACTAATTTTAAGAAACCAAAGATAATAAATGAAGGCTGTACGTTAGCTCTTTAATATTAGACATTTTCCTTTCTTTAATTGGATCAATAAAAGTTTGATCCATCTATATAGGATCATACAAGTTAACAAAAGCATTTTTCTCATAAAATCTTTGCTTGTTGACAGATGTTTTGCTATGTTTTTCTTTTCTCAGATACTAAAATCTTTTTTTTAAATTGAATTTAGGGAGTTGAGATTATCCGAGGCTGTCGGGGTCTTAACCTTGTCGGATGTGATCTCGTGGAAGTTTCTCCACCTTATGACACTACAGGTATTTTCCACCATCGATTCTTAAAAAACACTACTAGTTTTAATTTATTTTCTGTAGCATTTTTAAAATAACTTTGTTATATCTACTTTCATTCTCTTTAACAGGAAACACCGCCTTGACTGGGGCCAACCTCCTTTTTGAAATGTTATGTGTTCTACCAAAAATAAAATACTACTGACCTGGATGTAATATTTGATGCTACTTTTAAAATTTTTTAAATGTCATCAAGGTTAACTTGAGGTTAACAGCTATGTTTTAAAAATACATTTTCATTTCCGGTCCATTTTTATTCCAATTGTAATTAAATGTTGTACTTTGATAATTACATATATTAGCAATTTAAGATGAGCTGAAGCTATTTCTCCTGTAAAGAACCTTAAGGTGACTTTTGCTGGGAAATGACTAATAAAATAAACTAAACTGGAGTTAAAAGAGATGTTTCACATTAAGAACTTTATTTTATGTTAATTTATTCCTGAAAATGATGCACAATGTGACAGGGTCAGTGACATTGACAAAATCATAGTTACATTCTGGGTTTTTTCTTTTCTGAATTGAAAAACAAAAATGTATATACCAGTAGCTACAGAAAACGTTTGCACTTGTGGAGCCAGAAAAAACTTAAAAGCAGTAAATTTCAAAATTAAGAGAGTGTAATTTGTTGGATTTTTATGAGAACAGCAAAATATACACCTAATTTTATTGCAGTCAAATGATGACACAATAAAAATACAATTTTACCATTCTTATTTTGACTCATGCTCACCAAAGATGCCAATAATTGTGGGCTTTGTTTTATACATTTACCTACTAATCACTTATTGCCATTTCATTATTAGACAGCAACATACAAGGAAAACCTCTTGGGTTGCTTAACCCAACACATAATCTTATGTATTTGAAACACTTACTTTGTGTCAATGTGCTAGAAAGCAATAACAGTTTGTCCTCTCATTCCTTTATTTAGCTCTAGATTTGAATTAACACTATAAAAAATAAAATTATACAGCATTCAGCATAATTAAATGTGCATCAGGCACCAAGGGCGTTGACCTTGTGTGACAGGGGAAGGCAATCATTCTTTGTTTTCTACAGCTGCACGGGTTGGCAACACACATTGTGCTACAGTTACATTGACTGCATTCGGGTTCTTAGCTCTTAAAACCCAACATCATCTTAGACAATTTAGAAGCAAGAAGGAAGAGTAATTTAAATAATATATTTAGATTAAGCATCAAATAACGTGCTGCAATTATTAGCAGACAATGTTTCTGTATCATCAGAGGAGCTTAGACGATGCTGAGAATAATTGCAAGCGGAAAAAAAACAAGCAGGCGGTATTGTTTATCCCAGAATTACCCGTTTACTTAACATTTTGGAGCATTTTTCCACATCTTTGCTGCCAGCTGAAGGCAAGGGAGGAGTTTCTAAATCAGACCGCTGTGGTCAGAAAGATGCTTTAAGAATGCTCTCACAAAGAAAAGTTTACTCCAGAAATGAACTCTCTCGAATGTCCAATAGGGTCTGAAACAGGCAAACAGGAATTCCAGCTCTGAAGCTTTCAGCTAACTTGACTCATGATACATTTTATATTAATACTTGGCTTCATGTTAAAAGCAACACTGCTCCAATTATTTTTTGGAGAAGGTCTAGTATATTCCTAAACTCCTGTGATATAACACTGTCTTTTCATTTAAGATGTATGAACTATGTTGTGTGATATTGGAAGCATTACATTTGTACTTTGACTATAAAGCTGGTTGTTGGAACACTGACTAAATTCCTGCCCAAGTTGTTATTAGCCTTCTCTGTTTTTGTTTCACCTTACAGAGGAGAGGGACTTCTATTTAGGGCTCCTCTTAATTGGCAGCAGCTGTCCTTTTTAAACTTCAGAATGATTCAGTAAGCTTCCTTATACAAAAAAACAACAACCCCAAAACAAACAAAAACAGATGCAACCATTCAGCTGACAGCACTCAGCAATTTTTACTGGAAGTGGTAAATGTTGAGGACATGCAACACAAAGGCCTTCATTGTTCCTCAGTTTTTGGAATTTAACTCTTCCCATTAATATTTAGCTGCACTGTAATGAGTCTCAGCATAACGTCGTGCCAGCAGAGGGCGCTCAAAGCTCAAAGTACTCTGATCTTACGATTTTTAAATCCTACTGATATTACTAGTCAAACTAGTTTTAATGACTTGATTTATTTCATTATTTCTTTTACATTATGAAACGTTCTAACAATTTAAGACACTTGATTTGGATGGCTTGAGGTGACTTTAAAATTATGCTTCCAGAGGGTGTGGAAAGCATGACTGAAAGTGAGGAACAGGTTTATCACGTTGTAAAAGCTGTTGCGATATGTTTCGGGTAATGCTGCAATGTTTGCTTATGTCCCACGGGAGAACTTTTAATCAATATTGCTTAAATATTGGACAATCTATACATAAGCTCTGCATTAATGCTCAACCTTACCTCTGATACAAATGAGTCTTAATTTTTACCATGGTAAAATAAAAGAAATAAAGGAAAACAGCTCTATTCCTCCATATCTCTTACAATTATTGCAATTCCTCTATAACTGTTAGTATTATTTCAAAAGTAATAGTAATGAAAAGTATTTCAACAATATTAACAACTATTTTAATTAAGTGTTCTCATCACTGTCATTATATTTGTAACACAGTCAAAGAAGCAGCCAGGAGGCCTATAGTAACTTTAAAGGAGCAGCAGAGATCCAAACCTCAGGTGAGCGACACTGGTGATCCACAAATCCAGCTGATTAGCGTGTCAAAAATGAAAATGATACTTGAAATCTGACCTCAGAATGAGACTTTATACAGCAAAGAGAGAATGAAGAAGTTCATACTACCTCTTCATAGTGAACAAAATGGGCAGGGATCGTGTCCCCTACTTCAACATCTCTCTGCTCTGCTTTTTGCAGCCAGACAGAGATGTAAAGAGGAGAGGCAAGAGCAAGCAAGGTGGATTAGAAGTATTTGCACCAACTGATGGTGTCACCCAGGACATGTTACTATGACATATCATCCCTGCTGCCTGTATATGGAGCTGTTAGCATGTATTGACTGTCAGATTTTGTGCAAGACTGACCAATACCAGATATCCTTCCTGCCCACAGCATCACCACCCACGACTCTTTGAAGAGCCCTGGATTATGAGTTACAAAATTTAATTTCCCTTTGGGATAAAAACTGCACTTTATTAAAATCTGACAGAAGTTGAAGGATTTTGCAGTGGAGGATTGAAAACTTATGTACAAAGCTGATAGAAAATGTCATTGCCCCAATACACAAGCGTCACATTTAAATATTATTTGTGATATAAAAAAAATACAATAGGCAATTTGTGGTTTAAACATGACATTCACAAAAGGTTTACGGGTCTGAATTGTGCAAGGTAGGGCTTATGTGGACTGGAGTTTTCTTATGACTCCACTCATGTGAGAAGAGTGTGGTCACCATGCAAAAGAGCCAGCGTGGGTTTAGGTGGCGTCTCCCCCACGCTGGGATTAGCTGTCCTTCTCTTTGCCCTCCCTGAATTCCATTCCGCCTTTTACTTTCTCGGCTTCCCTCTCTGCGCTCCGGAGGACTTCCCAGTGACTTTGCGTGGCCGCATTCAGCCCCACTCTGACTAACTCAAAGTCCCAAAGTACTGCTGCTGCTGCAGCGGAGAGTGCGCAGGAAGGAGAAGAAGCACGTTTGGAGGTCTCGACATTTGGCGTGTTTCCGCAACCTTTCCCCCCTCCCCTCTTCCTCAGGGAAACGAGCGCGAGCAGGGAAGAGTTTTTACCTGTTGATGAGGTCCCACGGCTGGCAGAGGAGCAGGCGCATACGGTGTGAAAAAAACTCGCTCCAGCAGCGGACCGCGGGAAGCGAGTAAAGAACCCCGGGATTTTTTCCCCCTTTTCCTCCAGCAGAAGCAGCCTTTGCTGGGTTGGTGGAAAAATGGGCTCTCCGACCTCCTGGAGCTGTGGACTTATGGTGTCTTTGATACTCGCATGTCAGCTTGTTTCTGTAAGTGAACTCCAGCTTTTTATCTTTTGCACTTTTAAGCACTTCGCTGGACAGATTCAGAAAAACAAAACATATTGCCCTCAAGTCAAAGTAACAAATTACTTCCCTTCTTACCCCCTGCAGGGAAAGAAAATGGTATTTTTGATTTATCTTTGTATTTATGTCGTGTCAGTGGTGCATGCAGGTGGGCTGTAAACTCTTAACAGCATGTTCTGTAGAGGTGCGTTTGGAAGTAATGGGACAAACCAGAACCCGAGTGAAGCCGGGCTAAGTTTGTCCATAGAAACAAGCTATTCATAGTCTCCGCTGGAGTGCTGGAGCTTCCCAGACTTTCTGTTTTCTACTACTTAAGAGAAGATTGTGATTTGAAAAAAGCATGAACTAATCAGATTTCTTAGAGTTCTTTTAATTTTTGGTGCCTGCAATATTTCTTCAAAATAAAACTAATGCAAAATATGGAGAGCCATACGTGCCACAATGTAATGCATGATGAAAAATATATTTTGTAATTAGAGGTGAATGCTTTTGAATAAATTAGCATTTATGTTATTGCTAATTTGAATTTCCATAAGTAAATCATAAAAAGTGAAAATCCTTAATTGAATTTAAAGTTATTCATTCATTCATAATTATTTTGAATGTTTTACCATTTAATTTTTGCTGAAGTACACCTCAGAATAATCTAAACTGTAGGTGCAGCTTATTGTGTATATCTGCATATTTGGGAAAATAAATGTTCAACTTTAAGTTGTTAACTTATTTTTAATGGTAATGGTGATTAAGGAAAATTTTTTTATATATGATGCTATGCTATGCTGTTTCATTGAATACCTCCTGCAATTTCTTACAAATTATTGGTCCTCCCAACCTGCACATCTTTAATCTGTTTTATTGATACATCTTCTTAATTCATTAATCTAATCATAAATGTCTTGCACAAGTTGGAGCAAATAAATCTGATTGAAATTTAAACTTGCCAAATGAGCAACTGCTTGAGTGAATCATTTTTTGCTTCATTTTTAATTACGGAAAGTACTAATGAATCAAAATTTAGACATACAGTTTCACTTCCAGTGGCTGCCTATGCACTGTGGAGTGACTTACTCTTGACAAATCGCTGACATTACAGTCTAAGAACCCTGCTGTCTTCACTCCTCTATATCTGTTGTATGAATCATATAGCATATGACCATCGCCTTGCAGTTGAGAATAGCCTTCCCCCCACTCTTTGCAAATCTCTTCTGTCTGCTTTTTCACCTTTATGCCCTCTAATAAAAAGAGCTGTCATGAGGCGGTGACCGTGTCATCTCTGCATCGATTTGATCTGATATGAAGCTTTTCTCAATGATTTGATGCCATCTTGGTCGCAAGCATTCATACATTTTTCACATTCCTGATCCA